TGTACAGCACAATTCTTTAGTCATACATGAATATACATATATTCAATTTCATATTCTTTTTCACCATGAGCTACTACAAGATATTAAATATATTTCCCTGTGCTATACAGTATAAACTTGTTTATCTATTTTATATATACCAGTCAGTATCTGCCAATCTCAAACTCCCAGTTTATCCCTTCCCACTCCATCCCTTCTGGCAACCACAAGTCTGTATTCTATGTCTGCAAGTCTGTTTCTGTTTTATACATAAGTTCATTTGTCTTTTTTTTTTTTTAGATTCCACATATGAGTGATAACATATGGTATTTTTCTTTCTCTTTCTGGCTTACTTCACTTAGAATGACATTCTCCAGGGACATCCATGTTGCTGCAAATGGCATTATGTTATATCATTTTTTATGGCTGAGTAGTATTCTATTGTATAAATATACCACATCTTCTTTATCCATCTAGTCATCTGTTGATGGACATTTAGGCTGTTTCCATGTCTTGGCTATTGTAAATAGTGCTGCTATGAACATTGGGGTGCAGGTGTCTTTTTGAATTAGGGTTCCTTCTGGATATATGCCCAGGAGTGGGATTGCTGGGTCATATGGTAAGTCTATTTTCAGTCTTTTGAGGAATCTCCATACTGTTTTCCACAATGGCTACACCAAACTGCATTGCCACCAACAGTGTAGGAATGTTTCCTTTTCTCCACACTCTCTCCAGCATTTATCATTTGCGGACTTTTGAAGGATGATCATTCTGACTGGTGTGAGGTGATACCTCATTGCAGTTTTGATTTGCATTTCTCTGATAATTAGTGATATTGAGCATTTTTTCATGTGCCTATCGGTCATTCGTGTGTCTTCATTGGAGAATTGCTTGTTTAGGTCTTCTGCCCATTTTTGGATTGGGTTGTTTGTTCATCTTTTGCAAATATTTTCTCCCATTCCGTAGGTTGTCATTTTGTTTTGCTTATGGTTCCTTTGCTGTGCAAAAGCTTGTAAGTTTAATTAGGTCTCATTTGTTTATTTTTGCTTTTATTTCTATTGCTTAGGTAGACTGCCTTAGGAGAACATTGCTGAGATGTATGTGAGATAATGTTTTCCCTACGTTTTCTTCCAGGAGGTTTATTATACCACCACCTTTTAAACTCCAGCTTAAATAGTATTTCCTCCACCAAACTTTTTCTATCTCTTAAAATAACTCTCTCACTATTGTTCTTTTTTCATTTGTTATTCATTCAATGAACACTTATTTCCTTCAGTAGTCTTTCAACAAAAGTTCTACTGCTAGGCACACCGGCTTCCATATCTATTCTATTTGCAAATTTGTATAGCTAGTACCTTTGTTAGAAATCTGTCTTGGAGTGGAGGTAAGATTAGCATACCTATTTCCTCTCCATGATTATAATCTCCTCGAGGATAAAGGTCATCTCTTTACTTCTGTAGCTCAATCTAGCACCCATTTGACATAGTGCTTAGAATTCATGCATGCGTGTGTTCATCCATTCAAAAATATTGCTTAAAAACTTATTATGTTCCAGGAACTGGCAGTGAACAACAAATAACACAGTGACTACCCATTGGATTTTATAGTCTGGATGGTTATAAAAACCTGTTTACAAATAATTAGACTGCAATATGGCATATGCAGGAAAAATGGCAATTAGCCATGCCTTCTCAGGGCAGAGGCAGGTGGCACAGGGCATTTGAGCCAGGTCTTTAAGAATGAGTAGGAGTTCACTATAGGAGAAAGACAATCCAGAAAAAAACAAAGAGTATGTCAAGGAAGACACGAAAGAAACAGCATGATGGGATCAGGTGGAGATCAGCAAATCTGAGTTATCAGAACTCAAGCGGCCAGTGGAAGGAGATTCAGCTGACAGGTAGATGTCAGTCAGATTATGGAAGGTCTTGGATACCAGGCCAAGCAAACACGATTGTAGGAAGTTTAAGGTAATATTGAATATTTGTTGGATACCTGAAGAATGTTTTCTCCGCATTTGTATGGTTCTAGAATCTTAAACCATATTATGAATCAATTCCTTTCATCTACTTACATTTGTGGTTCAACACAAATTCTACAACCTCTTTCTGACTCCACAGTGTTCACATACACAATTCACATCCACTGGCAAAAGCTGTCATGAAATTAAGCTGTCATTCTAAGAGGAGAAAGGGGTCTGTGACATACTTGAAATAAGGAAGAGCAGCCTCCTCCAGACCTGGGAGATTCTGACCCAGTCCTCTGAGGAAGGCTGTGGTCTTGAGAACAATGTAACTCACGTCCCCTTCCTATGTGTAATGTTTTGTTGGTTTGGGTGTTTGTTAGTCTTAATGTGGGAAGAGTTAGTTTTTTTAAATTGATTGAATTATCAGTAAAATCATTCATTTTACTTAGGGGAATAAAATGCAAGAAATCTAAGTCTCAAGCAAAACTGCTCAGGTCAGCATTATTTTTCCAAATCAACTGACCCCCTCAAGCCTGCTCTATTAAGAAGAAAATCTAGGATCAAACATTTGCTGCACATCCATTCCCCTCCCCCTGCCACATAGCCAAACACAAAATGTCCAAGTGTCTCAAAGACTGACTTTGACAAAGGAGAGACTTGAAGGTCCTTCAGGCTATAGGTGTCAGGCTTTGACCAGTATGACCATTGAAACCCAATCCTGCCCAGTCCAGGGGTTTCTCCTGCGGAGTTGCTCTTGCTTCGATGTTGCACTGGGCTCCACAGTTGTGCCCAGCTCACACTCCTGAGCTGTGGCTGCCCTGATCACTCCCCTCTTGGGCCTTGATGACCTTCAGGTTACAGGCACATGTTATGACAGAATCAGTGTCCCTTAGCCCACATGTTGGGCTTATGGGCTAGATAATCTGCCCAAGGTTACACAGCTAGAGAGAACAGAGTTTGGATGCAAAAATCAAGTCTTCAGATTCCTATCAATTTTCCATTAAATGCTGCTACCTCCAATTAGAGGAGGTTCTAGGTTCTAGGTTCTAAGTATTAAGAACTAGAAAACAAGTCTTGATATCTGTGAGGTATTTTGTGAGATACCTGAACCTTCAGGATCATGAAGACCTGGATCAGGTTACTGAGAACTTCTTATCATGCCCAGCTGTTCTTTTTCTGAAAGAAAGGATTCCCTGAGTCTGGAGTTGGATAGTTTCACGCTGTATCTTGTAGCTTAAAGCACATGACCTTGAGTCTGAAGGCATTTTGGACAGGCCATCCAACACTTCATGCAAAGCTTTTCTGCCTCAGTGGCCTGCTGGCATCATGCAGGGAGAGCCTTTTTAATGCGACAATTCCTCAATCAAAATATAAACATGAGGGATGAGCAAGATTCCAGACTGCATCAAATCTGGGTGAAAATTCTCAGAAATTTCTTGTAGTAATTGAGATGTATAGTATATAAATCATTAGCACCTTGTCCTTTGGCCACACAGTAGAAAATATATGCCCAACCACATCAATAATGATATTATGACATACCTTTCAAATTATAATGCTCTGTGTAGGCTGTAACTCCTCTTTAAAACATATAATGAAATAACAAACATAGACGGATTGGGGGAGTTAAAATCAAAACACACTTTCTCTAATTGAAAAAGAAACTTTAAAATGATAAAATCAATGTATCTGCAAAGTGAGCTGTTTCTCAAAGTATCAATGTTTCATTATCTCCCCACCCCCACTTCACTTTTTTGTCAACAGTCTACCCCAAATTTCCAAGGGTGCCGTGGTCCCCTCTGCAAAGACACAGCTCTTTCAACACACCCCGAGGAGGACAAAAGGAGGAATAGGGTGGAACAGACCCCCGGAGCTCGGTCCTGCAGTGTTGGAAACATCGCCCAACTCTAGGTTTCGGCTTGCTCACCCGGGAATGGAGCCGGCGGTGGAGGAAGTGAATTAGAAAACATCTGAGATTCTTTCCACCTCTGAAATTTTAGACGGCTGTCTGGTAAATTGATTAAATTATCGGAACGCCAGCCTCCTCGCCGACCAGGTGAGGGCTGCTGTGTACGGCTGCGCTGAAGCTCTCGGGCTTTTCTTACACGACTGCACATGAAGCCCTGCGAACCCAGTGACGCGACTCGGACGGCTCCCCACCAAGCTGGAGCAAAGCTTTGGAGTATTTAATGTTTCTCTTTAAAAAATCTTTAATTTTGTGATCTTTTTTAGAAATAAAAACATAATTCCTAGTTGTGTGGTGATTATAAAGGGGGAGGGGGAGGGAATAAATTCAACAATTCAACACCCCATGTACATCAATCTTAGAGATGTAAAAAAAAAAACTCCAGTCCAGGCAAGAAAGACTTAAAAGCTAATGGCTATGGTACACAAATGACTAATAGTATCCGACCCTATAACTCAGTCAGGTAGATTCCCTTCTGGGTGATTACAACCAGGCACCTGGCATTACCATTTTTATGATCGAATGCCTGGGTGGACACCAAAAATGCCTACATCCCCCACCCCCATGCCCATTTTTTACAGTAGCAAGTTTCTTTCCTCCCCTGCCAGCGACAAAACAAAGCCTCCTTTCTGGCTCACACGTACCACACACTGGTCACAGACAGCTGTTTATGAAAACGCAGATTTTTGCTGCACAGGAGAGTATTTTAGCTGCTCCCAGGGTTTACAGACAAGCGAGTACCTCTAAACTCTGATTTGAAATTTGGGTTACATAAGATTTATTTGTCCTTCATAACTCCTCCGTAAAACAATACTAAATATATACCTAGCCTGAAAGAAAGTTACAGAGCTTGCTTTATGAAATCTTTAATTCCTAAATAACACTGTGTCTAACAAGGGTCATGGCACAGATAGAAAAAAGTGTATGCCCACGCATTGCTTAATCTTCCAACAGAGATCACCAAAATCAGGTTTGTTTGGAGGGATACAGATGCCTCAAGTCTGCAATGCATGTCTGTAATGCAAATGAAACAGGCAGTTGTGGGAGGAAACCCTTTGCCTTACTGGAGAGAGGAGCAATCCAGGGGGCTCTTGTGCAAGGGAAGTCTGTGGCTGTAGCTGCATTTCAATGCAGTGCTTAGTTTATTCACCAGGGGTCATCAAAGGTCTGGATTTTCTTTGTCTACTTGTTGACTCTTATATGTACACCGTACACTCAGGAACTACTGAATTCTTTAGACCTGTGCATCTGGAAATGTGGCTGGCTGTTCCCTCTCCCCACGCTGCCAGGCCCACCCTGACTACTTAGCATGGAACTGTTCCTCTTTATAGACCTCCGCCAACGCCTTACAGCAAGAACGTCAGTTAGGTGCGCGATGGAAATGCTTTTTCTAACTAAAACAACCTATTGAAAAGAAGGAGAAAGAGGAAATGATATCTAATCATTTTTTGTTTGTTTTAATAATCTCAGCTTCCATTTTTCAAAGTTGGAAAATGGAAGGCTTAGCACACAACTGTTTTCTGGATCAATGAACTGAATAGCATGGTTGGAAAGCAAGTGGGTCATGACTCCATTTTGTCAGATTTTACTCAGTAGCTGGGTTCCTAGAGGGCCAGAGTAGGTCAACAGAAGAACAAGTTAACATTATTCCATGAGGCTTTTTCAGCCCCATTGAACAGGTAAATAATGGAAGTTTTCCATGAAGATTTTGGCCCTGGCATGAAGGGCAGGGATCCCATAGGTCTTGGTGATCCTGACAGTGTCTGGATTGAATACATCCTTTTGAGCAGCTCAGGGGACTAATCTCAGTTTTTCTGTGGCATCCTTAAATGTCTCTAGCATGAAGCTTTGGAGCCAAATTGATTCTTTCTTACCTGTACCTTCTGAATAAACCAAATTATATCCTTTGAAAGCTCAAGAGTGAGCCATGCTTCAGCTGCACTGAGGAGTCGATGCAGCTTGCAGAGTTCTCTCTGGGGTTGCCTAGCTCCTATTTAAAAATTGACGTGGCTCTGTATACCCTTCCCTCTGCCCCCAGATAGGCAGAAAAACAGCCTTGTTACTCAAGAGGAAGCATGTGATCTCTATTCCTTTTATGCTTTATTTTAAAATGCAGTATTAGAGCCAAAAAGTCACCTGGGCGTAGAATGTAAAAGCTGGATGTAGCCTCAAAATCCAATTCAATCCTCTTACCTGATATGTGTGCAAACTGAGCCTTAGAGAAGGTAAGTACTGCTTCAAGTCATTTGGTGACAAAAAGGAAACTCTTCACTTTATTCTACACTACTCTTTCCAGATAAAACGTGGGGAAGACTTGCGATACGAAATACATAAGGTAATACTGTTGAAAAAGGCAATCAAGACCATGGAGAGAAAGAGGGGGTCAATTCTGACGGATGGCACAGTTGATAAAGCTGGCTCTGAGCACCCAGGCAACAAGGTAGCACTCAGGACTCCTGCTGATCATCATGGCTTGTCCACGATGAAATGAAGATACTATGAGACATAGGGGGACCACAGTTGCGTCAACACAAGATGATGGTTTGCTAAGGCTTGTGGTTAAGAGAGATTGTGAGAGTTGATGCAAGATGGGGAAACCTGGTCAGGCATAGCCCAGTGAGAAGCCAGAAGCCTCTGCAAATCGCCACTCCATACCAATCTCCAGCTAACATTTCCACAAAATGTACAACAGCAGAGTGCCTGATTTTCAAGTTAAGAAATTACTTATGACCTTTTAACCTCTTGACAGAGCAAGGATTTGTTATAATGAAAAAAGGTGTTGGCGGGAGGAGCCCAAGGCAAGATTCGTTGCTTTTTATTTTCTCTCGGCACAAGCTCTTTCTTAAGAAGCAGGACTTGTCCGCTCACCCCATGCTGTTTCATGGGAAATCATATAACCCAACATCAACTCCTGCGAAAGGACTACTTTTTCACGCATCCTCAAACTAAATAGCAGGGACAGTTACTTCAAAGTGACATTTATATTGTCAATGGGGAATAAATGGCTGAAGGGTAAGATAGTCATCAAGAGAAGATTTAATCCCAGGACCAAGAAGAGGCAGATACCTGTGAAAGAGATAAGAGAGCCCAGAGCTGCCCAGAGCTTCTTATTTTTAGACAATTGGGAAGTACTGCAAGTTGCAAAGGCTTTACTAGCATGTGTGTGTGTGTGTGTGTGTGTGTGTGTGTGTACCAGAGTAAGAAACTATTGGCTTGGTCCACTACTTCTTATTTGTTTCTCCATTATTTCCTCTGATGAGGGTTGATTTTTGCATCCTCAGATGCATCAGTTTTTGCCCCACTCTCCCCACACCCAGAAAATTATCAGTTAGTTAACATGTATTTTATTGAGTCCAAAGTTTACTGACAACTATGGGGAAGGTGATCTTTTTAAAAAACCTCTATCTCTTAACCCCATTTTAGTTTGGAGGATTTAAGCACTCTGGAATATATTTCAAAAGTCTGCCTTCTCAGTACCCAAGATATTGTTTGTTTGCTTGTTTGTTTTTGTCTTGGAAGCTCTTTCCATGCCTCCTATTTGATAGAGATTAAATGTTTTTAAGGGGCTTTAAAGAAAGAAGAAGAAAACCCGTAAGTTTCTGTTTTGTGAAGAGAAGGCGGCAGAGGGCACTCCTTGTAACCATCAACCATAAAAAGTATAATTACAGCAGATGATGACCCTCTGTTTCCTGTAAAGCACAGCATGATGAAATGGGTTTTTGCAAAAAGACTGCTGACAATTTAGAATGCATCAATGAGCAATCAGGAGGGCAAGAGACTGGGAAATACCTCAAAAAAAAAAAAAAGAATAATTGAAAGAACTGGGGGTGTTTAGCCTAAAACTGAGAAGACGTTAAGGCAACATGTTAGCTTTCTATAATAACCAAAAGGGCTATTAAAAGGAAGTTCAGCTCTGTAGAACCATAACCTAGTAGGTGGAAGTTTTGAATAGGCAGGTTCAAAATTAACACAGGAAAGCCCTTCCCACCAACTGAAGGGGCTGCCTTATACCTTTAGTACTTTCTTACCAAAGACTTTTGCAGAGGCGGGATGACCATCTTACAGGAATGCTGTAGAGAGGATTCCGGGAATGGACAGAGGTGGCATTCTATGATTGCAAAGGCCCTTCCTGCTCAAACACTGTAGACTCAAGATGTGAATAATCTACAAAAGCAACCTACTGAGTTCATTTATACTCAGAGCTAAACCAGATATAAAACAACTAAATATCACTGCCTTGTTTTTTGTTAATTCTCCTTAATATCACACTTGAGAATTTTTTCCTCCTGCCCCCATGCACCTTGCTGATCCACATCCCATATCCTTAATGCCCAAAGCAATGGGTAAAAATGCACTTGAATAATAATAATAATAATAGATTTTCAGCAAATCTGAGAGCGTATGTTAGATAGAATTATGCTATATATTCCAGAAAATCTCCAAGTAACAGAAGATTTAATGAGATAATTAGTTATTTGCTCATCTTTCCCACTCTTCTCATATGTGGTTTCCACCTCATGGTCCAAGATGGTTGTTAGAGGTCCTGCCCTCATCCCAGACAGCAGGAAGGGGGAAGGAGAGACAGACGCACACCTCCTGCCCTTTAAGCAGCTTTACTGGAACCCTCACAAAACATTTTCACCACATCTCATCAGCCAGATACAGATTCAAAGAAGGCTAGCAAATGAAACTGCTTATCTGGACAGCACTGGCCCAGCTGAAACTCAGCCTTTTGTTACCAGGGTAGAAGAACAGAACAGATATTGGGAGGTAGCTGGCAATTTCTCCTAAAGAAGGTTTAGGTATTGTAAAAAGAACACCATATTATTGCCTGGATTTCTGTCTCCTCAATATTTTAAAGTGAATCCCCTTAAAGTGGAGACTAAAATTTTAAGGTAAACAGTGAGGGAAAATTTCAGGTGCAATTTTATCTTGAAAAATGACACTAAAATTCTGAAAACATATTTTATCTTACATTTAACAAGATTTAGGTATATCAACTATTCATTAGTTTTTTCCAAAAATGAGTTAAATGCTGATTATTTAATTTGATGGCATTTTGATGAGAAAACAATGTAATCTAGTAGGGCACTGTTTGTGTCCACTTGTCTTTTGCTACATGACCATGGAGAGAATCTCTGTGTGAAAATACGCATCACTTTTACCAAGAGCCTCTCTCAGGTCGTTGGTATTCAAATCATTCTTAAAG